AGGTTCAATGTAAATACGGTTAATCCGTTCTGAACCATATTTATTTTTTTTTAAACCACAAAAATATGACACAAAGTACAGTACAAAGAGAGAGAACACTAACCTTGCCCGAGGCGTGGAGGACAGGAAGGCGGGTGGGGAGGCAGTTATTGTTTGGAGGGAAAGTCCCCCTCCCTACAGGAAGCCACAACCACGTGTCACGGCAGGGAAAATGGCCACGGATCCTGTTTGTCACCCGGTGCGGAGTTCGCGAACGGAAGCAAAATTTTGCGAACGGTGCTGTTCATGACCCAAATTGTTCATGAACAGAAGCGTTCATGACCCAAGGTACCACTGTATTTTGTAAACACGCTTGCATGTAAATCCTCACAAGCATGCAGTCAGTATTATAACATGCCTACGTTTTTCTATGACTGTGCAGTTATGTAGGCTTATAGTCTTAACTTTTTTTTAAAAAGCCTCTTTCAAGTTCTACACCTGATGATTTGGTGAAATGCCCATGTAGGTTTCTTAGCCATTGTAGATTGCTACTGTCTTCTTCCAGGAAGTTTTTTTTTCCAATTCCCAGTCTAGCTTACAGCCCTGATACCTTTGGAGGTCTTCCATCCTAGTACTAACCAGGTTCAACTCTACTTAGCTTTTCAAGATCTGCTAAGGAAGGGAACAGGAAAACAAGCTAATTAGGAACTAGTTGTTATAGTACTTTTTCAGAATTAGATTGTTATTTTATGCTTTACGTGAAAGTACAATTAAAGTGTCTTGGAAACTGAGGTTGATCAAAATTGTACTATTTAAAATGTTGGCAATCAGATGTCCATGAAATCACATTGTATCCATCCTACTTAAGGTTGCAGTTCAAAATATGATTAGCCACATTTAAAGCCCTAAGTAGCATTCATCTAATAGAGTGGGCTTTAATCTTCATATTATGGTCTTATCCACGGTTAACAGTCATGATTTGCCCAATTAATTCAGTTTACTGGGATTACAGATACACTCAGCCATTAACTACACAAGCTGGGTTCACATAATATCCTAGGTTATAATGTAGTTGGCTAATTTGTCATTGAGAAACTGAAAATGCAGCATACATATTGAAAAGATAGTAGCAATAGCCACATTGCTCAGCAATATTTGCGAAGTGCTTATCATCACAGTGTCAGAGTTTTTGCTGTGCAAATGCAAGTGTGATACCTTATTGTCACAGGAGCTGATGTGAAGCTTATGGAAAGTTTCACCCTAGAATGTTAACAGTTCCCCTTTGCTAAGTAAAATAAGACTGGTATTCATTAGGCTTGTACTCCTGAAGATCAGTTAGTCTGAGTCTGGACAAAATTTAGGTGGAAGACCATCAGAGAATTCCACTGATGTTCTTTACAGCTCCTTGGGCGCTTGTACAACGAAGAATAGCAAATCTTATTAGATCAAGACGGATGGCTTGGCAAACCATCTTGGGCTCTAGGAAGAAAGGCAGGTCTGTGACTGTGCCATAGTCCATCCTACAAATTGTGGAACAGCTAGCATGATAGAGCAGTCACTGAATTACTTCTTAGGTATTGCTATGTGATTCATTGGCCTCTTCTTTCCTAGGGACCTTCCCTGTGGATCTCACCAAAACACGACTTCAAGTCCAAGGCCAAAGCATTGATGCCCGTTTCCGAGAGATCAAGTATCGGGGCATGTTTCATGCCTTGTTCCGCATCTCCAGAGAAGAGGGCATTCTGGCACTGTACTCTGGGTGAGTACAGCTCCTTTCTGTTCCTCTCCTGTATGTACAGCTTCTTTCCTGCCATATACAGCTATGTAGTTGGGTTCACATGAAATACTAACCCATAGCATGAGTTGTGTGGTTTAGGGTTGTTTGTTGTAGGGCTTGGCTAAAATGAAGTGTGGGAGTGCTGCTGTTTTCCTAAATAGGTCCATTGTTGTTCTTTGTCTATTGTAGAATTGCACCAGCATTATTAAGACAAGCATCTTATGGCACCATAAAGATTGGTATATACCAGAGTTTGAAACGACTTTTTGTGAACCGTTTGGAAGGTTGGTATGCTAAGAAAACATTGTAGGTCTTTTTTCCCCCTCACAAAGCTATAAAGTGTCAGGTATATTAGCAGTCCTGTATGGATAATCGATTTATCTGGGTGTGGCTCACATGAGCTGCTTGGACTTTCAGATTCCCAAGGTGGGAAAATAAAGCACTAAAAATGCAGAATTGCACCTAAAAGCGGGATAGAAAATCACCTATGTTCTGTATCAAGTGCTTTCTTTTTTTTTTTTCCCCGAGGCAGTGTGAATTATGTTTTTCTCTTCTTAATCTTTACCTCTGATTCTTTCTACATCATTTTGGCGTGTATTGTCACTTGTTTCATTGCACTCAGGCCCTAAATGGTGTTCATTATCCATCTTCATCAATAGCTGCTATATGAAGCAGAAATTGGTATGGAGCACACCAGGGTAAGCCTGCGTGGATGTTTCTATCAGAGAGAACATAGATGCTTTTCTAGATGAAACTGATTTGATGAAGAGCAATGCTCTTTCACAGAGGCAGGAAAATTGCTGCAACAAGCAAAGTTCAGGCCTTCATTCCAGCTATTTGCTGCTTCTTGGTTTCCTCTTGATCCATTTTTTGACATCCTCATACATCTAGATCAAGTCTCTGGGTGTATAGTTCTCTTATTTCCTTTATGAAGATTAAAATTCAGGACTTTTCCTCTTAAAAACACACATCAGAAGTCAGTAATTTTGGCGCTTGTTCCAAAATTGAAAACAGTGGAATGTCACATTGATAAAGATCCAGGTGTTATGCTCCCTTGCCTGTCTTTTCATCACCCAGCAAAGTTGCCTCTGTCTACACTATCACATGTGCTGTGTTGTGGTCTCTGCTTATGGGAACTATGTCCTAAATGTTTGTTTTCCTGCAGGCCCTGGGCAGCCAGTGACCCGGTCTCTTTGGAGAGTGCTGCGGTCAGTACCCTGCCCTTCCCAGCCTAACTCTGCTCTAACTCTTGGCTTTTCCTTTCTGAACTAACTGCCTAATCTCATTTACTGGATTTTTTGGTTCTAGCTCTCAGATTCTACTGAATCTCTATCAAAAATTCTTTGAGCATATACCTCTCAGGAAGCTTAAGGGATTGGGTGGCATTCCTTTAGAATCTAACAATTCTGGAAAAAGCAAGATAATTGGTAATCTAATTCCTGCTTTAACAATCTAGAAAAATATTTTGATTGGAATCTGCAGGTGTATAATATCTCCGTGATGCCTTAGGTCCAAGAAAGAGATGGTTAGAAAATTTGAGCACCTGGTCTTTCCCTAAAAATAAATAAATAATTAATAAATAAATAATCTTTTTCATCTTTACTTTTCCTTCCTGAAATCTACTACTTTTGCTTTTTCTTGTTGATCAGAGTTTTGGGTTATATCTTGTCCTTCCTAATTGCAGATGAAACATTATTGATCAATGTCATCTGTGGAGTGATTTCAGGGGTGATCTCCTCAGCTCTGGCTAATCCAACAGATGTATTAAAGGTAAGAGGGGTCTGCTTTGCTGGATACTTGTTGCTTTTGCATGCTGCCTCTGCTCATCCCTGGTCTGTGGGTGCTTTTTATTTTTACTCCCAAGCCCCTGACATTGCTGTAGTTGCTATTCGATATATGCCTTCTCTTAATGTCAAAGAAAAGATGACTAGAGAAAGGAACGGTGTGAATACAGTATTGTTCAGTGTTGCATTGGTGTGATTGGCTTCCTCTTATCCTAACAGGGAAGAAATGTAAAGCGATGCTCCTCAATGTTTTCAGGTTCAGGATTCATTATTAACTACAGCCAATAACATGAAATACAAGCATAAGTACATGCACACTTGAAGACACGACCATCTTCTTTCTTTTGACTGAACAGAATCAAAAGAAAGATTTCTGTACCTTTTAAAAGCTGTGCAGTAAACGAGAATTTTGGTAATTGCACATTCTCATTCAGGACTGAGAAGAGCTACCTTCATAAGAAAATTCTGTCTTTTACACAACTTTTTAAAGCTATAGGAGGCTGTTCTTCCACCTGACCATCCTTTCCCTGTATATTTCTCTTACCCCACAAAACAAAAAACCCCATAGTGGTGATACAATTTTAGGTTAGAGCAGCAGCAGCATTGTGTGGTCATCATCTTAATTTTAGAAATCCTCTATAAATGATCAGTTCAGATCTCTTGCAAGAGTGAGCTTTCCCTAACCTGGCAGTTTGCTTAGTAGGATGGAAGAAGGAAGGAATACTGTTGTTATTATCATTGGCTTTGGCCTCTTCACCAGTAGGGACAGGGACCAATTAGCCAGGGAGATGGTAGGTTCACCTACATGGTATTTGCCCAGGTGGAAGCTAGATAGACAACTGGATTATTGCCCTTAGCAAAGGGTTGGACGTAACGGCTTTTTCTAACTCTATAACTTTATGATTCTAGCAGCACCACTCTATCAATAGATTATATCCTAAGGAATCTGCCTATTAAAACTATTAGAGCATGATCTTGTGGACGTGATCCCAGCTATTGAAGACTAGCAGATGCCCTTTCCCAATCTATGCTAGCATGGAATTCTCGAAGCTGTAATCTCTACCCACCTAGAGAGCATCAGGTTGAAGAAGACTGGTGTAAAGCAAATGATTATAGAGAAAGTGGGAAGCAGCTGTAGAAGCTTGGGTTGCCATACAAGGCTGGGAATATTCATGCTCAGTATCTTGACCTCCAAGCAATTATGTTGGGTCATAGGTGGCTCTCATATTTCCATCAACTTCCCTGCTAACAAAGGCCCTTGCAGATGTCTCTTCATTTTTAGATTCGAATGCAAGCTCAGGGCAGCCTGTTCCAGGGGGGGATGATTGGAAGCTTCATAGACATCTACCAGCAAGAAGGCACTCGGGGCCTCTGGAGGGTAAGGGCTTCTTGTATTCCCTCCCACTATCCATGTGTTTTGTTGTTGCTTCCAAAGAAAAATGTGGAGAAGGCTTATCTAAGACAATGTATTTTATTTTTTGTTATTGTATTTATATTCTGATTTTCCTCTGGGTGCTCAAGGTAGCACTCAAAAGAATCATCCCTCATTTTATTGTTACTTCAACAATGCTGTGAGATTGGTTGGGCTGAGAGAGAGTATTACTGGCTCAGACTTACCCAGTGCCCTCCACAATTAAGTGGTCCATTCAGCTTAAAGACTGTTGTTGCGTTTAAGGTTCAGTCCTTATGCAGATGTGACAGCTGGTAGCCAAGTCTAGAATTTTTAGAATCACAGTTGTGTATAAAAGAAATTTCTAAACATGGTTGCAGCAGTCTCAAAAATTAAAAAATGTTGAGAGAGAGATCTCTAGTAGTGAAGAGGAGTTTTAATACTGTTCCTCTTAACTCAAGTGTTGTCCTTCTTCCCAATTTTCAGTGAACAGCCAATAAGACCCTAATTCTCTAGAGGAAAGGGAATTGCAAGGAAAGAAAGCAAAATAATATAAACCAGAATAATACATAGCAATTAATACATTTTAATTTTCTGTAATGGAATCAGGATTTTGCCAAAGGGGAGAATAGGAAATCACGTGTAAAGATCTATCTTTTCTAAGAATCTTGAGATTAGATCTAAGAGCCAGTGGACCTTTTTTTCCTTTGAAAAATGAAGTATCCTGCAATCATCAAAGCAGTTAAGGATGGGATGAACGGAAGTTGTAAGATGGTGGGTCTTTGATGGTGATGTTGTAGTTAAACTCATTCTAACTTCTGGTCTTTTCATTGGCCAGGGTGTGGTCCCCACTGCTCAGCGAGCTGCTATTGTGGTGGGGGTTGAGTTACCAGTCTATGACATCACCAAGAAGCACTTAATACTTTCAGGACTCATGGGGGACACAATCCTCACTCATTTTATGTGAGTACCTGCCACTGTTCTGTGTGATTAACCTAAATGCACTCTTCTCAAGATTCGTGGGCTGTGAAGAGAGACATGTGTTTCCCAAATTGTGGGCATGGAGTAGTCAAGAGCTCATATTTCAGCTTTTGGCAATGTTGAGCTTTCCCTATGACTTCTGGAGGTCATGCATTTTTCCCGTGAGTGGATTCAGGCATTGCACTAAACCATATTGTGGGCTTGTTTAGTTTTGACTTAATGTGATACGTGAACCCAGCTATATGATTTATAAACCAGGACATATGGCTTAATACTATGTGTGATCCAGGCCTTATGGCATTTAAATATGATGAAAACGAATGTGAACCCATGTGAGAAATTATAAGCAGCAAGAGAGACTTATGCTGCTTTCCCAAAGCCATCTTTAGGTGAGGGACCTACATTACCTGTTCTTAAAGTTTTATGTGAGTTGTGGAAAACTCAGAGGAAGAGTTGGTTGTTCTACATGCAATTAAAATTTGTGGTTTCCTTCACACATTTTCTCCAACACTTGACAAAAATTATATTAGGGCTGTTCCTGAAAGTAGTACACCACAGAAGGAAGGAATTCACAACCTCCAGTAACTCTGTTAGGTGCACCAACTTTTAAATGGTGTCTTCTATGCTTGCCTGTCTAGTTCTAGTTTTACCTGTGGACTTGCTGGTGCCGTTGCTTCTAATCCAGTGGATGTCGTTCGAACCCGCATGATGAATCAGCGGGCCATAGTGGGGAGTGTGGATCTCTATAGGGGAACACTGGATGGCCTGGTAAAGGTAAGGACTACAGTGTAACCATCCTAAGGGGGTCAGGGTAGGGTGCCCGGTGTAGTGGTTCAGGTGTTGGACTAGTAATGGGGACACCCTGGTTCATTTCTATCCTAAGTTATGGAAATGCACTCTCTCTGCCCTACTTTTCTTTCTGTGGTGGAGCAGGTTGTAGGGATAAAATGGGAGATTCTTTGTGGGAAGCTTCAAGCTCCTACAGAAAGGCAGGATATAAATCTAATAAATAAATGCTGGGGGTAACACGGAAGGTGTGGATCAGAGTGCATTTTGAATGTGGTTTCTTATCGCCTTTACAGACTTGGAAAAGTGAGGGTTTCTTTGCACTTTACAAAGGATTCTGGCCAAATTGGTTGAGACTTGGTCCCTGGAATATCATTGTATCCTTTTGTGTGCAAGACAGAGGCATTGTCATGCAGGGGAGGCTGGGGAACATTTTTGAAGCAATTATTGGTCATAGCCAAGAGATACATCATTCTGTGGCAAGTTTCCAGCAAAGGCTGAATCATAAGTTACCCAAGCCAATTCTGACCTAATTTAGCATGTTGTGTGAACCTCTTTGTAAATATATACCAGAAGCCTCCTTGTTATTGAGTTGGGTGACTTTTGTGAACTTGTATGTTAAAAGACTACACTTGTACTACGTACTTAATTTGGTTGCTGCATTCACTCATTTTATGTGTTTACACAATATTTTGAATGAAAAACTGATCAAACAAGTTTGATTCACACAACATGCTGAATCACAAAAGCCAACAAAGCTAGGGTTAAATTTAGGCGCCCTTGATCTGTTGTGCAAAGGCAGCTTCTACATTTTTAACTAACCTGATTAAGGGTACATTATAACCCAACTTATGCAATTTCATGGGAACTGTAACTCTTGGAATGGCAAGAATGTTTTTCTTTTCTTTAAATATAATTTAGCCTTCCAGAACTATTTGCTCTGCAGAGACATTTGAACAGTGCACTTTTGTTCGGGGTGTGCTGATTTAGATAGCACACATGAATTTGTGAGTTGTATAATTGTGCTGCACATTTCAAAGGGTAGAGAAGTTATAGTGCAGTGGTAAGAAGTCAGATCCTATCCTTAGCAAATCCGGTTCCTGGATCTTTTGGGGCTTGGAAAAGACCTCTGCTTAAGTGATTTGGAGAACCCTGCCAATTTTGTAAGGCAACTTCACATATTTATTATGTATTCAGGGTATTAGCTCACCTTTGGATAGCTATCCAGAGTTGTCCTTTCCACTTAAACGATAGACAATGTCTTTTCCCCTTTTCCTGCCATGGATGGGGGAAATGTGGCTCTCCTACATCAGTATCACAGATGATGACCAGCCATTATAATTCCAAGTTGGGGGCGGGGGGGAAATCAGGGCTATTTATTTGTTTATTGCTTTTAATTTCTGCCTTCTTTTTAGACCCACTAATATATTCCCTTGATTTCTGCAATTCTAACTGCATAAGTCTGGGCTCTTGGGATCTTTGAAATGCAAAACTAGAAATGTTACTTAGCTAAAAATGAGACAGAGAGGAGGGAGGGAGGGAGGGAGGGATAAGAAATTCCTCTTTTGAAGGTATTTCTTTAACTCAGTGTCAGTTTTTTATCACCTACGAGCAGCTGAAGAGGCTTCCTTTTTAAGGCGCCCATTTGGATTGGTAATCCAGCTGCCCTTCCTGCTCCCCTCCATTCCTGCATCTTCATGTTTTTTGTTTTTTGCCTACATGGACTCTGTCTTATCACCCCCGTGCTGAGTGCTCAGCATTGGGAGTGTGGCTTGAGGGGAAGGAGAGGATGGGTCCACAAATACAGTATTCAGAGCCTCGTGCACGTGCTTTCCCCCAAGAGGCAAAGGTGGAACATGAAGGGAGGGCACTTAGGTCTGTGTTTGTATCTTCCATGAAGAGCTGTGAGTCAACGATCCTTTTCACTGCAATGTGGCTTTTGCAGTAGGCAACCCCACTCCCTTTGTCCCATGCCAGAGGCCAAGAGGGAAGTCAAGAGGGCTGCTACAGTCCTTCCATCGTCATGTTACCCTATTAAACTATTTATTGGAATCAAATCCTGTGGTGTATGTGTGTGTGAATGTTTCTGCAAACATTAAGTTTTCTAAACATAGGGCAGGTGCCTGCATGCGTAAACAACAGGTCTCTTTTTAAAAGGAGGAAATCAGAATTGCCTGTCCAGCTACATGATTTATACACTTGCCAAATTAATGTCACTGAGTCCTGGACCTGGAACTGTTGCAAACCAGTCCAACTGTAGAGAAAGGATCACCTGTGTAATCTTTAAAATTCATCCAGTGAATTGAGAGAATTGTAATACCTGGTTGACTACAGGATAACTCATATGATAAGGACTAAAAATCAGAAGAAGCCTGATTTTTAGCAGCTCATAAAAGCTTATGCCTTTTAATAAAACGTGTTAGTGGAAAAGACGCTACTACACCAGACTCCTGATTTTTGGCTACAATCAACCAACATGGCTCCCTTCCTTACATATCTTATCACTGTAACCTAATTTCCAACTAATGAGTTTCTGAGTCTTCTTGTTCCACAGAGGATACAAAAACTAGAAAGCAATAGATTTCATGACAGGCCCTTAGAATGGTAGATTCTGGGAATATTAGCAGGAAGCCTCCATTCCACTGGCTTGTCCAAATCCTCAGGTCAAATTATTTATTACCATTTGCCATGACACACAAAATACTAAGGCATATCATTCAGAACAAGTATTTTATCACTGCACAATAATAAAAGCTCTGTAACTTTGATAGGAGAAAGAGTGAAGAGCTACAGAAAGTGCGATCAAATATTTGTCTATGCTTCTAATAAATACTTGTCATCTGAGGTTATCTTGAGCTTTTGACGACTGTAAGCCTGAAAGTGGGAAAACCCTTGTTTGGTATTGTTTTAAACCACCCCCCCTCAATGGCTGACTTCCTTAGAATCTTAAGATTGGAAGAGACCATGGAGGTCTAGCCCAGTGCAGGAATCAGACCATCCCAATCAATGGCTGTCCAGTTTTTTCTTGAAAACCTCCAGTGACGGAGCACCCATGACTTCAGGAGGCAGGCTGTTCCAATGCTTAATGGCTCTCATAGTCAGGAAAGTCCTCCTTATTTCAATTTTGGATCTGTTAAGCTTCCACCAGTTGGTTCTTGTCTTACCCCCTCCAGTGACGGAGCACCCATGACTTCAGGAGGCAGGCTGTTCCAATGCTTAATGGCTCTCATAGTCAGGAAAGTCCTCCTTATTTCAATTTTGGATCTGTTAAGCTTCCACCAGTTGGTTCTTGTCTTACCCTTGGGTGCTATAGAAAAATAAATCCTTATCTTCTGCCCTATGATATCCCTTCATGTATTGGAAGATTGCTATCATGTCTCCCTTTAGCCCTCTCTTCTTTAGGCTAAATTCACCCAGTTCCTTTAACCACTCCTTGTAGGATTTAGCCTCCAGTCCTTTACCATCTTTGCTGTTCTGCTCTGAAGGACTCCCTCGAGACCCCATCCCTGGGCTCCTTAGAAAGGAAGTAATGCTACATCAAAAGAACTTTTGTATTTGATTTGTCCAAAAAATGAAAAAGGGGGCTATTAAATTGAAGTGATAAGCAAATGTTTACACTTGGCAAATAAAGTAGCTTTTTAGGAATGTGGCTAGCCAAGACCTGATGCCATTTGGGATAGGAAATGCATCCTAATGATGAAATTCAACTTCAGCAAGTGTGTGACAACACAATGGACAAATAAAAATAGACACACATCAGGTTTCAGGGGAGAGGTGTCTTACTTCCAGCAAGCCCGTGCTTTGAAAGAAAATAGAACAGGATTTAGCCCTGATCGATTCTTCACCCCCTAAGCAGGCAGAGCGTGTGTGACAGTCCCGTACTTCACTGGGACTTCCACGACATCAGCCACGACCTAGCAGTTGCACAAAATCAGGTGGTCGTCTTGACTTCCTTGATCCATCTGCAGTGGTTTGTGGAACTGGCATTGGACGATTTCCCAGCCCCAGCATCCTCCACCCACACTGGTCAGATGGACTTGCATCTTCTTGGTCACGCTCTTGTGGCCGCACTCAGATGACTGTTGATGAGAGCCAGGCAGCTCTCACAGATGGCATTTCTGCTCAATTCCCCCTAATGTGCTCCAGCGTATTTGCTAATATTCCTCCTTTCGGGGTTTCTCCAGCATCATTCACTTACCCATATGTTTGTTTTTGTAAGGGCAAACACAATCAAAGGACAATAAAACTGGTCCAATGGGAAATTGCTCGGAGCTTATGTTTGCATACTCCAGAGTTTCTTGACATCATTAGGTGCAATTAAGCACTAAGAGTTAATAAAATTTGGATAAAGGCTTCCCTTTCTTAGAAGTGTACAGCCTTCAAGGTAATTCTCAATATTTATTTAGCGTATGGCATCTCATACATGGACTTACATTAAATACTAACCTTTAGTCTAAGTTAAAAACACTTTGAGTTTAGATATTTTTAATATTCATATTTTGAATACCAATGTCTAGGCCATCTAACCATTGAAGTGCAGCATCATTTATATAAAAAAATCAGATATTGGGCCAGTATATGTCCTCAGCTTACAGTTGGTCACAATATAGTTTGATGTGCAGCCCCACAGTCACACTGAGGTGACGATGCAATCCCCCATTTATGCAGTGAATAGTTGGTATCCCATAACATTTTTCACTAGCCAACGATTTGCTTACAGAGGTCAGTTGTTTATCACCTGGAAGGAATAAAAAATGAGGAAATCCCCCCCCCGCTCTGTCCCCAAAAAGTTATGATCACCCAGATCTGAGAATTGTTTACGAGGATAGCCAAGTGATAATACTGCCAGGAAACCCTGCAAAGCATTGTTGCTTGCCTTCAAGGCTGCAATCTTTCTGAGCCCAGTTAGCAGAGCAATCCCTGTTCATGGGATTATAAGAATTGGAGAACGTTGACAACAGCCTTTCTCCCATCCTCCGTTTGCATGGTTATTTTTGTTCTGATTTTCTTCCCAGGAGTTAGAATGATACAGACCTAGCTGCTTTCTCCATTTTGCCCTCATAGCAACCTTGTGAAGTAGATTAGGTTAAGACCTTCTGCTCAAAATCTGCCAAAACAAAAACATAAATCAGGGACTCGTGGCCCTAATCCAGGTGAGCAACGTTTGGCCCGACAGCATTTTTAGTGGTCCTTGGAGTCTCCACTGACAGTTTGCTGCCATTTTGGGGTGCAAATACATTGAAATTATCATGCAAAACTTATATAGGAATATCATGGTTTGCAAAGCATGGGGAACAGCTGAAACTCTGCCGGGGGGGGGAAGAAAAATCTACCCTCACTTTATGACCCCCAATTCCCTTCCAAATGTTGAACGTGACCATTGATCAAGAAGTTGACCATCTCCACCTTAACCTCACACTGCACCCACTGTACCACAAATCAAGACGAACGTTTTCCATTTGGGCCTTTATGAATACAGCTTGCTTGACTCTGCTGTATTATGTGGGATCGCTGCTCCTCCCGCATGTCTTGCCCATATTGTTACTGATAATGCACAAATAAGGCTAATCCAGTTCGTATTCAGCAAGGTGTAGTTCCTATCCTCTGTAGGGCTGTTTCCATAGAGAAGAAATGCAAGCATTATACAATTACAGCTTTTAAATGTCCAGTTTCCATTTCTTGTTTTTCCAAGGCTGAGTTATCAGGATCCAAGCTATTAATAGTTTACAAATACTAATCCAAGCTAGTAATAATATGACTCAGTTGGGGAGTAAATATTGTCCATCTGCCAATTTAATTGAACAGGAAATCGTCAGGATGTGATCTCTCCATGCATAACAGAAAATTATAAACAATACATTTTATAAGCGTAATGGAATGGATCTCCATATTGGTTTGGGGGGATTCTTTCTTCATCACTATTACAATGACACAGAAATGTAATTCTAGATTGCACGTCCTAGGCTTAGATTTCCATTTTCTGCTCTTGTTCCTATTCCCATCAGTAAGGTGTAAAAATAAAATGTGTTTCTTTTTCTTCATAAAAAAACAGTACTTCATAGCATTTCTCCCATTTCTCCTAATATGAAGGTATGGGATGTTTGTGGGAGCCAAAGAGTGAAAACCTCAAGACTGTTAACCTCAAATGACCTCAAGTGTGCAGCCTTAGATGACCCTGTTCTTGTAAAAAGCAGCAGTTAACCGTCTATAGAAAATCAACTGCACATTATGATTTTTTTTTTCAGGTATGATGTTTATGTCAACTTCTCAGTTTATCAGGTTTGTCTTCAAAGCCGGGACCAATCACTTAGGGAATGTTTGGTATTTCCCAATCATAGCACAATCTGGAAGCCTGCAGCAAATTTCCCCAAATGAATAATTAAGCATCCACTGGGGAAGAGATTTGGGTTGTCTCTCCCTTTGTAATGCAGGTGGGTGACCAGGCATCCTGTTCTGGTCTGGAGATTCCTGGTGAGCAGAACTATAGCATCTTTTCTTAGTGCAAGATGTTCACCCAAAGCTGTAGTAAGAAAGCAAGAAAACATGGTAAATTTTCTCCCATAGCTTGCTTCTGCACATCTTACTGATGTCATATAGCATGCTAAACATACATTTCTTGCAACATAAAGGAAAAAAATAGGAGCCAGGAGAGGGTTTGGCAAAATATTTTATACCTCTGAAATCCCTGCTCAGTTCCCTTTAGCATTTCCAGTTCAGATCTTAGGTCTTGAACCACATCCTGGGAAGAC